GTTACTAGTTCATAAGAAAGGATAACAAAGAGATGACTTTACCAATATTATTGATATTTTACGTATCTAAGTGGAAAAATAATAAGAAACATTGAAAAATCGGAATATGACGTCACTGTGACGTCATCATTGGGCGTGGCAAGTCAAAACTGGGTGTGGGGCTTCTTTGTACGGAGATGATCATTGTGTGTAAATTTCATGACCCTAGCATTATTGGTTCCAGAGATACAGAGGGGGGGGTCCGAGGAGCCCCCCCCCAGTCACAGATTGACCAAAAAAGCCCAGTCTGAATAGGGTTAAGACTTAACCGAATCCGGAAACCGCACTTGAAAAGCCTCTGGCACCCAGGGTATCATCAGCTTTGTTTGAAAGGAGAAACTGGTTAAAATTTCAAAGGAAGTAGCCAATTTCCAAGTCAACAGGGTTTACATCTATTTTTTTCCCTTTTTTTTTATATTTGACTAGAAAGATTTAGAGCTGCAAGTTGAATGCGCGTTTTATTTCGAAAGTTTGGTCACACCGTAAGTTATATGGACCACAAATTCAGCAATCGAAGGGCGAAAATAGAATTAGCCTTCAAAAATAAAACACAAACAGCGGTGATAAACATTGTGAGCTTTCGCATTTTTATAAACTTGACGTTTCGTGTACAGTATTCAACATAAATTTTAAAAAGTGATCTAAAAAAGTGACCGTTGAAGATAATGACGAGACTATGTATACAAAAATTTACAAGGGGTCTGGAAACGAGATTAAGTATTCACAATAAATACAAAAGTCAACAGGTACCAATAAAGCATCAGCTTTTCACTGCTGATGTTGATATTATCACCGCTGTTTGCAACTGAATTTTGTTTTGTATCAAACGACGATGGCCCAAAAACAAAAGAATTAGCCATATACTAGTAATAGTTGACACTACAGCTGCCCCCGTTTTGTATATTGTCGGTCAATAGTATTCTTGCTGGTTGTGTAGCTCTTTGAAATATACCGATTTATAATGAAGATTTTCACACATATTCCATACAATAGGTGAGATAAATACAGGAAACGCAAGGTTCCATGCACAGTTTCAGCTCGATTTACACAGCTTTGATCAAAACATTCTCAGTTTCGAGAATAGTTTATTCTAAACCATAAAGAAAAGATTTAATTAGAAGTTGAATTTTTCGCTATTTCTCTTCCCCTTTTTACATTCAGTTCATTTTATTTGCCGGAAAGTAAGCCTAAGAAATTAAAAGGACGTTTGATCGATTCACACTAGCGCATTCTAGTCTTATTTGAAACTTTATAACGGAAGGATATCTGTGAGCAGGGAATAAGTCAGCACAGAATTTGATTGTCGGCGAATTTCTGTAAATGTCCATCAATCTGCTAGTGATAAGCTAGCCGTTATTCACTCGTCTTGCTTCTTTAGGGCTGAGTCTTATTCCGGTCAAAGAGAGAGAAGGAGTGTCTGGCAAGGTTTCCAATATAAATCAAAGATTTGTGAACTCGTGTCTGGCAAACTCTCCAGGTGTTTATATATCTACACAGTTAAATGCACCTTATAACCTCCCCTGCCCTTAACGAGTGTCTTTTGGTCCATAACTTTCAAAACAACTGCTCCACAGAACAGAATGTCAGAATGACAGAATGTCACTGCGTAACGCAAAAGAGTATCGAAGTATGACCGCACAATAAATGTCACAAAATCTACCTGAGCGGTCCCTTCGGGATTTTCTGTCGTTACGTCATCCTAACCATTTCGTACTTGCGGGCGCAAACAATAGAAACGTCATCATTACCTACCGATTCCTCGCGGCCCCAGTTTGAGCAAATCGAAATTTTTTCTAGTATACTGACTGTATATTTGAACTGTAAGTACTGTCCTTAATATACGCGCGAGTTACTAGGGTGCCTCCTCGGGATTTCGCCTCAGGGCGAAATCCCTGCGGGGGCAATAATAACATGTTTAATGAGACGGGTGTAGAAAAAAACAAAACAAAAAAACCCGCTCCACATACCAGAGATCGAGAGAAATGACTATGGAAACTTTAGCCAGAGGTCAACCCAAGCGCGAGGAGTCATGGGAAGGAAGATCACGCCAACCCTACTCTAGGATTCCACAAATTACATATACTGAGAGACTTTTCGTTACATAACACTGAACTACATTTTGAGGGCATCTACTTGGCTCAAAGGCGTGCTCGTTTGCAGGAAACGTGAGTAAACGGTGCGCACTGTTGGTTGCAGGTTCTATTTTATTTGATTTTATCTCTCTGTTCATTAATCTTAGTTCTTGGTTTGGGTAATTCTGAGAAAAGAACGTAGATAGTTGTGATAGCTTTTAAGGACGTGTCACAACAAACATGAGTAAAGCAGAATATAAGCTTTCTCTCAAGCAGACAATTTATTTTAAAAACTGAATCGCATCAGAGATAAATCCTGTAAGAAACAAAAATGACAAGAAATAATTAATCAATATGCCTGAAACAGGTCAGCTTTATGACCTCTCAACATGAGACCAGCAAATTTTCTCTACAGCTTAATCTACCCGCTAGAAAGAAAATAATCGGAACAAGCGACATTTTACATCATGAGGTAAAAGTCGTTTAGGCCTACAGACCCCCTTTTATACCGTGTAAATTCGGATATGTAGATCGCTACCCGTGAAAATTCAACTTCCTACAAGAACGCGTGACAAAGAAGAGCGGGAAATCATCACATTCAGGGACAAAACAATTACAAAGAGCACAGAAAATGACCTCTAAATGTGACACAAACAACAGCAAAGATAAGACTGATTCGCTCAAGTAAAGTTTGGAATCCTCCACAGTGTAATCTACAGACTTTGGATTCAAGAACTAATAAAAATTTTCAACGCCTTGCTATACGAACAATTCCAAATCAAACGAAACCAAAGACCAGTTTTGAATACGAAACGCTCACACAGTGAACCAGTAATGGTGCCGAAATTACACACCTCACAGATTTTCAAAGGCCGTGCATATGAACTTAAGTGTCGTGCATATAGATTTTGTTTGAATAAACAACAAGCAAATTTACTCTAGTATCTCGGGGTAATTTTTTCCAAGCAAGAAAAAATTATTACAAACCTAAAATATGCAAAAATTCAAAGACCACTGCATTCAGAATACATCAAAAAACCGTTGAACACAACCGTTAAATTCACTTTCGGCAGACCTTTCTCTGCGTTGCAGAGACGTACGTCATCTTTCTTTTGTTTCACATGTTCCTCTGATGTTCCTTTACAAATAACGCGTGGTGTTATGGCATAAATGAAAGGGACCAATATAATAGCGGCATAAAGCGTTGCGAATACTGATTTTTCTTGGAATTATCAGTGACGTCATCATATATCCAGAAACGGATATCTCCCGGACTGATGAATTCATGTAAATTTATACCTTGATTTTATTAGGGCCTACCCCCAAAAGTGATTGACGTGCTGAAGTAAAGAAAATCCGGGTTATGACGAAATAATATTCGCTGTAGGAAAGTGGAAGTTAATAGCTAACCAAAATCAGTAGTTAACTGAGAATTGGCCAACAAAAATAGTAGTTAACTGGTATTTGGCCGAAAAATGAGCAGTTAACTGAGAATTGGGTACCCCCCATTAGCACCTTCATAATTGTTTAAATAATGAAAATATGATAAATATGGAAGTCTGAATATTGATTATTGAGGTTTGAATATTAAATATTGACTGTTTGAATATTGAATACTAAAAACAAAATATTCCGCTTCCACCCCCGATAAAAAGCAGTTTTTTTGTGTATCAAACTAGAATTAGATATCTGAGTTTTCACGCGACTGCTTATGTGAAAACCTATCCCGTTAAAAATGATTGATCAACTGTTCTATTCTTTTAGATGTTTGACTAAAATTTGTTGAGCCCCAGGGCTAGGAGACGGAACGTTTGAATATTGCCGGCATGGTCATTGAAGTGGGCAAACATTTGCGGTATACCGCTAACTTAGCACTCTACTTTCATAAGGAGAGGCCTCTTTTTAGAACTGTATCCCATATAACGAAAAACACTACTATTGGACGATTTCAAAGAATGATGCTGTATGTTGTCTTTAATTTCTCATATCCTATTTGTTGACTATAGCTCATTTGTAAAAATGCATTACGTAATACTGTCTCGAAATGACCATAAAGTTCAAGTTGATCACACCTATCATCAATCATTTACATTTTGATCACTATCGTTGATATTCAATGTTCAGCCAACAGAGAAAAGAACTTTGTTTAAACTATCAATTTTAGCCGTGTATCAGGTATTGTTGTCAGATTGGGAGATTGATATGAAGTTTTTAATGGTTGCATTGATGCTTTCCCTCCTGTGGGTTGCCGATGCAGGTAAGTTTACACTGAACTGATAAAAAAACCACTGAGCTTAATAATCTATTACCACTGGGTTATTTTAGGTTGAAATTGAAAGAGTCAACATAAAACGCGGTTTTGTTAAACAACGGATGAACTCCGTTTCAACAACCGGCCTAAACTTTGTGTTTTACGTACCCATCGACGCAACACCACAGTGTTTGAAGGCTGCAGATATTGCGGTCTAATCTTCAGGATTTTAACTAGCAAGTTTAGAAAGCTGTTAGGCCGCGTCCACAGCTACCTGTATTTTTTAATTTTTTTTTCGCGGATTGGCTTTCTCTCCACACGTATTGGATGAACACCGTCACTGAAAACTTAACTTTTTGAAAACGCTTTCAAGAGGGAAACGTTGTGAAAACGCCACTTTCCTGTACTGGACTGGAGAGATGAAAGATGAATGTTTCTCTGCCACTTCGCCTTTTTTACGACTTGATCATCCAAGGTTAGTTTTCCCTTTACGTAAAATGTTCAAGCGTGTTGAAATTAATTCAGAATGCGACGTAGGGCTGGAATATCGAAGCGTTAAATGACCCAGCAGAGTTCCACTTACAAGACCTCGAGGTTCTTAGTTTGACCAGTACGTAAAAGTGCTCGGGGAGACAGCTTTGTCGACCAAACATTGATATTAGAGAAACAGAGAAAGAATTATAAGATAATTCCGGCCCAATCCGTGTGCATAAATAAAAATTCCCGTTTTAAAACAAAAACGAATACGTGTGGACGGGTGTAAACGATCCGAAAACGGCACGTGTGGACCCGAATTTTTTGGAAAAATATAAAAAGATATTTCCTTTTCCAGACAAAAAAGGAATACGTGTAGACAGGGCCTTTGTAATTGTCACTGTCAGTAACGACCGGGTAGGGGCCACGGTTGATGGTCGGTCAATCTCCTTCAAACTTTTACCGTTTGTTCCCTATCTGATAAGATTGTGATCGGTGATATTATTGGAAATATAAAATAAATCGCATCCAATTTTGACCACCCCCTAAGTTTTTGCGTTATTTAGAAGGCTGAGAGAGGAAAAATTGGTGAAATTAAAATGCTACTTTTTCTTGCTTTGCGTTGTTCTACTGAAATTGTATGATGCTCACGTATTTGTGTGTATTTCAACAACTTATTTCGACAATAACGTTGTATTTACACAAAAACGGCTTGCTCTGGCACCTTTCTAAACACTACCACTTTATTGGGTCAAGAGGATTAACACGATTTCAGTCAATTTTAAAGCCTAATTTTTCCAAGGTGCAGAATCTTACTGATAAACTGGGGCTACTTTTTATCAGTCCTTCTATAGCTTTAAGGAAAATTGAAAACTCTCATTTGGCAAGTTAAAATCGTCTGGAGAGAGCTTTCTCGGAAGTTTGGCCTTATCAGCATAATCGTGTAAATTTCCCAGAAAAACGTCACGCTTTCATAGTCACGAGATCAGGAGAATTCGAAACTCTCAGTTGGCAAGTTAAAATCGTTTAGAGAGAGCTTTCTCGGAAGTTTGGCCTTTTTTAATAGCATAATCAGGCGCGAATCCACACTGGTTTCCCCCGTTTTACGGAAATCGGTCAGATTTTTCACGATAAACATTTTTAATAATAAAATAACAATAATAGAACTTTCTGGAAAATAGTCTGGACAAATGTTTTCTTTTTCCAATTTCCGGGCATTAGACAAAAACCCGAGAAAGGGAACTTTAGGGACTTTAAAAATCAAAAAAAATTCCCGGGGGCTCCCCTAGACGCTTGCTCCCTCGGCCCCTCGTTTAGGAAATCGGTCAGTATTAATCCTAGATCCGCGCCTGATGATCGTGTAAATTTCCCAGAAAAATGTCACGCTTTTATAGTCACGAGACCAAGCGATAACGTACCAAGCATTTCACAACTAAACATGAGGAATTTTTCCGCAGTTTCTGTCATATGTTCTTGCACAGGGCAAGTGTTTTGCATGTATCCTAGGTACATATTATTATAAACCATTGAGTTCAATAAATTAACAATTGTATGACGTGACTACGTTTTGTCGGGTTTTGTGGGTATGTAACGATATCAGTAATCTACTGTGAAGATGTGCGGTTTATTACGAAAAATTGAACTACTTTTTGAGAGGTTTTTTTTAATGCTAACAAAGAAAAGGAAAAAAAAGAACAAGAATACTTTTGCCTGTCACTTATCTTTAGTATTAGAGGGAAAGTACGAAGTGGAATGCTTTGTACACATCTTTGACAACTGCACCCAAAACAACTTTGCAGTTCTTTCAATTATAGAGCATTTGTTAAACAAAGTCAAAAAAGAATATCCCGAAGTGATACATGCATACTTCAGATCCGATAGTGCCGGATGCTATCATAATGGTCCTCTTTTGCTGAACCTTAAAGAAGTAGGAGAGAGAACCGGTGTTATACCAGTGCGATACGATTTTTCCGAGCCTCAGGCTGGCAAGGACATTTGTGACAGGAAATCTGCTTCAATGAAGGGGCATGTAAAACGGTGGGTTAACGAGAAGCATGACGTCATCAGAGCCGAGGAGTGAAAGCCGCTTTGGAATCACATGGTGGCATCAAAGGATGCAGGGTGGCAGTTGCTGAGGTGGACACGACACGTGAAAAAAAAAAACAAAGATAATAAGATACCAGTCATCAGTGTACTGAACAACTTCCATTACGAGGAGAGTGGCATCCCAGTGTGGAAAGCTTATAACATCCGGCTTGGACGTTTTGTCCCTTTCGATGATCTCGCAGTTGTTCCACAAGGAAAAACAGGATTAAAAGTGATCCAGTCATTTGGTCTAGCTCCACAAAGAGGAAGAATGGACAAAAGCGTCAGACACAAGTCTGAAATCTACTCTTGTCAGGAAACTGGATGCGTTCTAACGTTTAAGAACCAATCAGAGGCAGATTACCATATGGACACTGGCAAGCATCGACTTGAGGTGGACTATGAGTCTACGTACGACCGTATTCGAAGAAAGTGGGCTGAAGTTGTGACGGGAGTGATGTTTGCACAAGATAATCCCGTCATCGTCATCGCAAGGGAGCAGTGCCATGGGACAAGACTTAGCAGATCGTAGACCTTCTAGATGGGCTCTCAAGACAGTGAAACGTACATCTAGGATGT